CATTCAAACCTACCTGCCAGGGGCAGATGCTAGATAATTTATTTTCATTGTTTTTTGTTTCCCAGTCTATTTTTAATGTCAGCAAAGGTCAGTTGGGTTTGTGTCCCCTCCATCATTCTAAGCATTTGCCTCATCTCCCTCTTGTTTTCTTGCAATGCTGAGAGTCAAACCCAGGATCACACACACAACAGCTCTACCACTGAGTTACATCCCTGGCCAAAATAAACTATTACTGTTTATTTCATGTATTCATTTTTGTGGTGCCAGGAATAGGACCCAGATCCTCAAACATATAAAGCATGTGTTCTATCACATGAGGAGGAATATTATTCTCAGCTTAAATCCCCTTCCTTTGAGTGGGGGGAAAGCAATGCTTCCCAAACCATGCTGGGAACCACCAGGGTTTTACCTAGCATTGGTAGGGAGGTCATGTGGCACTGAGGATCAAACCTAAGGTGTTCAGCATACCAGGCATGTGTCCCAACCCTCTGTGGCTCTTGTCGCCATTTCCTCTGACCTTTGTGATTACATTGGGCCCACCTAGATTGTTCGGAATTGTCTTCCTATCTCCAGGTCAGTCAGTTGATTGACAATTTTAATTCCTTCTGCACACTTGCCTTTGCATCTGAGTACCATCTTCACAAATTCCAGGGATTAGGAGGTGAACATGTTTGCATGGTGGAGTAGGGGTGGGGCACTATTTTATTTGAATTCTCTTTTATTTCATCTAAAGGGTCTTTTCACAGTCCCTTTATGTTCATTTGTTGTTTGCTTTTGGGGTCACACCCAGCGATGCACAGGGGTTACTCCTGGCTCTGCACTCAGGAATTCATCCTGGCGATGCTCGAGGGACCATATGGGATGCTGGGAATCGAACCTGGGTCAGCCCCATGCAAGGCAAACACCATACCTGCAGTGCTATCGCTCCAGCCCCCCTTTATGTCTTTTCATGGCCCTTGATCATTAATATTTTGCTTAGAAGGTACTTCTGGCAGTGCTCAGGGCTTATTCCTGGCACTGCACTCAGGGATCACCGGGTGCAGGGGACCAAATGTGGTACTGAGGCCCCAAACCAGGTTATTTGCATACAAGGCTAATCACCCTACTCACTGTACTATATCTCCAGCCTGGGCCTTATTTTAACCCAATTTAATCTGCACAAACAAGGTCAGGGGAGATTAGATCTTACACTGTGATTGGCCTGAGGGGATAATGCTGCCCACCACTAGATTCCTAAAGTTGTGCGGTCAGCAAACATTGATGTGCACCTTCCGTGTACCAAAACTTCAACCAGGTATTAGGGATGGCATGCACATGAGGATGGTACAGTCCTAGCTTGGGGAGACTACCTATCCACAAGGATAACCTCAATACAAAGTATAATGGAAGACATGGGAAGTGAAGAACAGAAAGCACCATGACTGTCTCTACTCTGAAAGGTATCTGAAGTCTGAGGAGATGAGAGGGAATGAGAGGAGTCCGCTCTAAATTTTTAATTAAATATATAAATTAGGGTCCACAGGGAGAGCACAACTGGTAGTGGCTTGCTTTGCACACAGCAACTCGAGTTCAATCCTTGACACATATCTGGTTCCCCCCAAGCATTTCCAGGTGTGATGACTGAGTATAGAGCCAGGAGTAAGCCATGAGCACTGCAAGGTGTGGCCCCCAAACTATATATATCAAAATGTTCTTTGTTCCACCCTTCTTTCCTTCTCTCCCATTTGGCTATCTTATATAGCAAAATGAATGAGTCACTTACAATGGGAGAATATGTTCCTACATTGTGTATTTGTGTATTTTTAGAATAAGTCTCTAAGTGTGGAATGTCTGTGTCAGAGAATACCTTGGTTTTAATTTTGACAGATTTTGCCAGGTCATCATCCAAATTTCCAAAGCTCAAATGCACGCTTTCTCACACCCCCACCTACTTGGAAATTATCCATCTTTTTAACCTCTGCCATTCTGATAGGTGGAAAAAGGATATCTCAATGTGGTTTTAATTTGCATTTCTCTAATGATGAGTGTGGTTAAACATTTTTATGTGCCTGTTTATGTTTTAAATCTTCAAGTCATCTGGGATTTATTCTGTTATAAGAATAGAACTTTATTTTTTCCAAATGGCAGTACTAGTTATTAAATAATTTACATTTCCCCACTGATTTAAAATGTCATCCAGCTCCAAATTTTAAAAATGAAATGAGGTCACATCAGCATAAACCTCACACCATGTACAAATATTAAGTCAGAATAGATATAAAGGTACAATAGAAAAAATTAATATCTTTTTTTTCTTTTTGGGTCACACCCGGTAATGCACAGGGGTTACTCCTGGCTCATACACTCAGGAATTACTCCTGGAGGTGCTCCAGGTACCATATGGGATGCTGGGAATCGAACCAGGGTCAGCCGTGTGCAAGGCAAATGCTTTACCCACTATGCTATTGCTCCAGCCTCCCAAAATTAATATCTTAATAAAATATAGATTTTATTAAATATAGAATTTAAAATATAAAAATTTTAATTAAAGGTATAAGTATTTAACTTTAATACATTTAAAGGTAAAATAGACAACTTTTAGAAGATAGCTTTTTATTTTTTAGAAAATCTAAAAAGTTCTCATGGCATAGTATCAGAAGTAAAAGATATAAAATAAAAAATAATAATAACTAGGATTTCAAAATAAAACTAATTTGTGCCAGGAAATATCCTTTGAACAAGAAGGCACCATTTGCTACATGCCAAAAGAAAACATTTGCAAACCACACATTCACCAAAGGTTTGTGCATAGAATACTTAAGAAACAATCAGAGCTTAATTTCAAAAGTCTAAACAATCCAGTTATAACATGGAAAAAAATAGTTGGAACAGATATTTCACTGAAGAGGAAATGTGAATGGTACAGGAATATGTGAGAAGATATTCTATTACCAACATCAATTTCTTTTTACATTGCACTATATTAGCCATTTAGAAAATGCAAATCAAAATCAAAACTATAATGAGATCACATTATATATAGGGATTATTAAATAAAATATAATAACTTCAAGTGATGAGGATATGGAGAAACTAGAAATTTTCTACATTACTGATGAAAATCTGAATTGCTTTGAAAAGGAAACCTAAAATTACTACTCTTGGAAATTTTTTGGCAGTTTCTTACAAAACTGAATATCAGGTACAATTTCATCCAGCAATGGCATGCTGGATATTTTCAGCAGATAAATGAAAACTTGTTCACAGAAAAACCTGTACACAATGTTCATACCACTTTCTTTCAGAGTAACAAAGAGCTGGAAGCAACTAAGTTGTCCTTCAGTGGTTAGATAATTAAATAGCTTGGGTAGAGTCATACAATGTAACAGTAGTCAGCAGCAACAATAACAAAAACAACAAAAGTAGTCTAGTTGTTTTACTAGTTATAAAACATGAAACAATTTGAAGGGTCCTCAGAGATTTTAAGCTTGGTGGGGAAAGCAAGTTCCAAAAGGTTGTACATGGTATGCTATTTGATTCATTTCTAATATCCTCAAAATGGTAAAAGGGCATAAATGGGGACCAGATTAATAGTTACCAGGGGAGTTAGGGATAGAGAGAAGGAACTTGGGTAAACAAATACAAAGAGAGAGCACAGGTAGGTTTTAGTGGCCATAGAATATCCTATATCTTGATATGAGATATGATAAGAATCTGTGTGTGTGTGTGTGTGTGTGTGTGTACTAGACTCGTGGAGAACCATACACATACAGACATGCACACAAATCAATTCAGACTTAAAATAATGAAATTAGGGGGAAGAGAAATTGTACAGCAGGCAAGGCACTTGCCTTTCATGCAGTTGACTACGGTTTGCTCCCCAGCATCCTATATGGTCCCCTAGGCACCACCAAAAGTGATTCCTAAGTGCAGAGACAGTGTGACTCCTCCAATCCCCCGACCCCCCCCCAAAAAAAAGATTAAATTAAGTCTCCTATGTAGTCAGCAGTAACATACCAGCATCAGTTTCCTCTTACATTGCACTAAAGTTATATAAGTTATATACTGTTATATAAAGTTTTATACTGTTGGGGGGGGGGGAAGCTGGGCTTACTGATTTTATAACTTTCTGTGAATCTATAGCTAAATTAAAAATGCGATATGACTGCATTATAACAATAAAATATGAGAAGTCACCTTTAGGAAATGGGAAAAGGAGCAAAGAGCACCTGTGACTTCGCACACTTCATCCTTTGCACGCTTCATCCTTCACACACATTCAGTGCTGCACACTTCATCCTTTGCACGCTTCATCCTTTACACACATTCAGTGCTGCTTCATCCTCAGTAAGCTCCTCCCCATCTCTCCTCCCCAGACACACAAAGGAACAACAACATTTTAAAGTTTCTAATGCATGGTAGGTGCCTTAGGCCAAGTTGCACAGAAGGGCTGCATACATGAAAACATCTCAAATGAACCCGGGCATAACCTATTTTCCCAGATTCTTGAATGTTAAGAATTTAACCCACTCATGTTATCCAGTGGGATCTGATGAACCATTTCAGAAGGGAAAAAAAAGTTCCAGACAGCGTGACTTTGTGTCCCTGCATATGTTAACGCTTTCCTTGTCAACCACAGCACGGCGAGCCACACGGACTCGACAGCCTGCATCCATCCTTCTTATTCATTTCTAAAAACAGTTGCCCCCACCCCCCATCACACAGTGATTAATTAAAAACAAAAACAAAAAACATCAGTTGCCCCAGCAGCGTCCAGTACCAGTTCAGCCTGAGATCGATCAGATCAGCCGTCACGCTTCTTTGAAGGGCTCAGGAGGATCCCTCTTTGCCACCGTGTTACGGCGCACGACACCCAGAAGTCTCACGCGCAAAGGTGAGCTCCGTCGGAGCGACTGCGCCACCCACCTGCCCGCGAGCCAGACGCTGTGACAATCAATAGGGGCTGAGCCAGGGGGCGGGGGGCGGGGGGGTCTCTCCTCAAAGTCCGTCTTCGCCGGAAGCACCCGCTCGTCTGTCGTGGGCTTGTCGTGCATCTGGGAACTTGGAAGAGCGGCTTCGGTGGTTGCTTCCGAGCTTGGGAGAAAGGCCGAGAGGTGCGGGAGCTGGGCGAGGAATCCCGCTGCGCGGCGGGCGGGAGGCGGTGCCGCCCCTCACACCTGGAGGCGCGGGCGGCCAATGGGCGGCTCGCTGGGGGCCGCGGCGGCCAATGGGAAGGCGGCGCGCCGCGCCCCGGGGCTATAAGTGCGCGGGGGTGGCTGAAAGCGAAAGTGGTGCGGCGCAGCGGGAGCAGCCCGGGCCGAGGCAGCCAGATGCTCCGAGTCCCCGAGCCGCGGCCCGGGGAGGTGGGGGCGGCCGGCCGGAGCCCCGCGGCCGCGCCGCCGCCCCCGTCCAAGCCGCTCACCTCCTTCCTCATCCAGGACATCCTGCGGGACGGCGCTGGGCGGCGCGGCGGCCACGCAGCCAGCCCGCACCTCCCGAGCCAGCCCGACCCCAGGCGAGACCCGGAGCCCCAGCCCGAGCCTGAGCAAGAAAGAGGAAGATCAGGAGGAGGAGGAGGAGGAGGAGGAGGAGGAGGAGGAGGAGGAGGAGGAGGAGGAGGAGGAGGAGGAGGAGGCCGCGGCCGGGCACCCGACAATGAGCTGGCCGAGGAACCCCCGGGGACCGAGCCAGGTAAGCGGGAGGTCCCGCCGCTGGAAGGGGGCGGCCGGCTGCGGGGCTGCCCGGCGGCCACCCCGCCGAGCTCGGGCTGCAGCGATGCTGGGCGCGTTGGGCGCAGGCCACACCGCCTCCCTCCGAGAGGTACCCCGAGCTGCAGCGTCTCGGGACGCCGGATTTAAACCCGAGCTTGATTCCCAAGCTCCACCGCCCCGCCACCCAAAGCGAGCGCTGCTCAGTGACTCACCCCGTTCCCCCCCCCCCCCCCGACCGCGCCCCCTCCCCCCGTCCGCACCAGCCCACGCTCACGTGGCACTACCTACCAACAAAATAATGGTCAATCACTTATTTATATTCATAAATTAAACTCTGTCCAGCAAAATCTCCCCATTCGCTTCCCAGAGCAAAAGGCAATAAGACTTCCCCTGTGGTTTTCAGAAAGCCCAATAGCAGTGTGACCAGATTGTTGAGACATCCTAACTAACGCCTGTCTTTAGAGAAGATAGGGGGAGGGAATATTTAAAGTCCAGGGATGAGTTTGCCCTTAGTCCTTGCTGCTCTCTGGACGCCGAGCTGCTCTGGCTAACAGAGGTGACACGGGATGTTTTGGGGTCTTGTCTTACCAGTATTCTCCTCACCATCTCCCATGCATACTGCCCTGCCCTACACATCTCCACAAGCCCTAGTTCCTCTTGACACATGCCAGGAAGTTCTCCCCTAGCCATCTCTGTCTCCTTCTCTGTGACTATTAGAAAACGAATGTGTCATACAGGTACTGATTCCTTCTCAGCTGCCTTAGAGAGTTCCTTAGTCGTGTGAAAAGAGGGAAATGTATCCAAGGTGACAGTGGGCTGTTTGTTCCCTCCCTGAGTGATAAGGAAGGGAGGCTTGAATTCTGTTCTCTTCCTTGCTAACATGTAACATTTGCTTTGCATCCCTCCTCCTCCTCGTCCTCCTCCTGTCTCCTTTCCAGCTACACCCTTGGAGACTTACGTGCTGGACTGTGAACACACTTCAGAGGCCCTCCCCAGCTTCCCTTCCACTGCCAAGCAGCCCCAGAAGCGCTCCCGAGCCGCCTTCTCCCATACACAGGTCATTGAGTTAGAGAGGAAGTTCAGCCACCAGAAGTACCTGTCAGCGCCCGAGAGGGCTCATCTGGCCAAGAACCTCAAACTCACCGAGACACAAGTGAAAATCTGGTTCCAGAACAGACGCTATAAGACCAAGCGGAAGCAGCTGGCCACAGACCTGGGAGACCTGGAGAAGCACGCCCCGCTGCCTGTTCTGAAGGAGGATGGCTTCTCGCATGCCTCTGTCCTCACCACCTACAGCCGCTACCCTTACTACCCCTACCTGTACTACCTGGGGAGCTGGAGCCCAGCTCTCTGGTAGTGCCAGATGACAGACGTGTGGCATCACAACTGCCTTCCCCAGCTTCTGTCTCTGACAGGCCGAAGGGGTCATGGTCAGGGAGGATGGGCAGCCTGAGGCATGGAGACCAAAACTTGAGGTTTGCGCAGGGCTGGAGAGATAGTACCATGGGGTAAGGTGCTTGCCTTGCAGCTGACCCCTATTCGATCCTCAGCATCCCATAGGGTTGCATCACCAGGAGTGATTTCTGAGTGCAGAGTCAGGAGTAACCACTGAGCATTTACAGGTGTGGCCCCCAAACAAAACAAAACCGATCTTGAGGTTTGCAGAGAAATCTTGGAGTTTCCCCTGTGGCCCACCGATGATCAGGATGGTGATGAGGCAATCCCCGAACGGTTCCCCCAAAGAGACAGGGCTGGTCATTTTGACCTGGGGGACCTGCTTAAGGTGCAAAGGGATAAAGTCAAGAGCTGTTGCCAGCACTTTGTGTGATTCTGTGTGCATTGTCCATGTCACTTCCGAAGGTGCCCCCCAGTCCATCCTCTTGTGTAACTTCAGTCAGGGAGTCAGGAAGAGAAAACCAGAAGGGGTTTATGGACAGCCAAGATTAGGAGGTCATCTATGGAATTCACCTTAAGTCTCATGTTGCCTGGGAATGCGACCAGTATTTCTCCCTGACCCTAGGAGAAAGAGGGGCAATAGGGTATTACAGAGAAACCCATTATGCGTAGCACTAATAGAAGGGTAGAAAGAGATGAAAAAGAAGCTTCTTGTTACATTTTAAATGGATGCAAGTGTAAGTATTTACAGGGTGGCCCAAGATGCTCTCACTGTGATTTTAAAACAAGCTGAATAAACAGACCTTCACCTAAGGGATGGGCCCATGCCACGGGGCTTTCCCCATGTCTAAGACAGGCGCTTTCCGAGACATGGCGGAGGGAGAAAGCACTGTACTTTTCATTAGCCGTTTCTCATTTTTCATTAGAATGTCTTCTGGGTCATTTGCACCATTGCCCCTGACCCTCCACCACAGGTCAGACAATTTAAAATTCAAGAATAGAGTTTTGCACTCTATAATGCTGCGTTATGACTGTTGGCATAATTTTTACTAAAAGTTCCTTTCTTTTTTAAAAATTTGTGTACCTTTTCTCTAGCGTTCCCCCCAAACAACCCCCCCCCCCCCATGCCCAACTTCTTTTTCAGTCTAGACTTTTAGGCTGGCTGCACCTAACATGCCTTCCTTATTTAGCCCGAGATCTGGTCTATTTTTTCCCCCAAAGATTTATCTCCAGCAGTTAAACAAATGTGTGTGTTGGGGGTGTAGGGGTGGGGTGGCAGCTTTTGAACTGGCCAAAAGACAGGCTTTAAAGCAACAAATTTCTAATTCTTTCCTTTAAAAATATACAGCATTAAATCCCAAATTCTTGTTCGACATGTGATAACTCTGAATGGCCGCTGCTGCCTCTTAAGCTTGCTCTCACGATCGGCTCTGACCCCCCCTTGATCCCTGCAGCCGAGGCTGCAGGAAGCATCTGTTGGGCACACATGAGCCCACCCCACAAGGGGATGGGTCTGATCTTGTGACACCAGCGGTGCCTGTCCAGTGTCGGAGGGGTTGGCCTCAGGGCCTAGTCCCCTGAGCAAGGGCTGCCAGCACTTTACAGGAAGCGCCTTTGAGAGTGGAAACTGTTCTCAAATTGAATGCTTATGGCTTCCATCGGCAAGCAGAAATTGCCCAAATACTTGGTGAACTATGTTCAATGTCTATAAAAATGGGCCCCCAGAACGAGGCCCCTCATGACCTTCAAGATAATTAGCAGAAGGCCAAGGAGACATTGACTCAGACCTCTGGGTGACCTGCTGGGGGCGAGAGCTCAGAATAAAACTCACACAAAATCAAGTTCTTAATGAAGTACCCTGAGGACTGGAAATCTCTTAGGAAACTTTTCCATGCCTACCTAGTAAAAGGGTCAATTTATTGCCGGGGACAAAACTTATTTCACCTCATATTCTCTCATTTGGACTCCACGTGGAAATGGTACATGCCACTTGCGGATTCAGTAGGGACCACGGGAGGGAGAGGAGGCTCACTGGCTTTCTCCCCCTCGCATGCCTTTTAAGATAAGCATTTTGCGGTCTCCTCCTTGCTGCCCTTCTCTGCACACTCTTTGAGTTTAATTCTTCCAACCTGCAATTCTGCAAGTGTGAAATATTTTACTGGTATGGATATTGTGTTGCAAAAAGCAAATTCTTTGTTAAAAATCATTTGGTTTTAGAAACCATCCTGCTCCCCCTCCCCCCCCCCCCAGGAAGTAGTCACTCATCCATATCTGAACTGGTAGGACAATATCTGAAGAAGTGTATCATACCTCATGAATGGGAGGTGCCCAAGATTACTTCCTCTAGATAGCTGTTTCGATCCCATTTTGATAAATTAATCTGGGTTCTCTGTGTGCACCATAATTGGCTCTGCTCTGCATAAAAGCCCATGACTTGAGATTTTAGTAAAGTACCCCAGCCAGACTTTATTTTTCTATGTATTTTTTTGCAACATTTGAGTGTTTTTAAAATAAAGCGCTGTGTCTTTACTAGACATGACCTGTGTGTGACTTTCTTTTCTCTTAAAGATGGCAGGATTCCAGCTGACATATTTCTGCTCACCATGTCCTCCCACCTTTAGCTGGCCAACCTAGGCAGATGATCATTAAATAGTAGCTTCACCCAGAGTGGATGGTGGTGATTCTCTTATAAATGCACTGGCCTGTCTTCTGGGTTAATCACGTGGAGGAAAGTGGCATTCTGTCTTTAATGATCATGTGCTCCTGCACTAGCGTGCCTTCTGTTTAAACAGATCCCCAGATTGTTGTGTAGGCTCCTTGCAGAGACTGAAGGGCGCACACCAGCTCTCAGGACCTCCTTGGCCCCCTCCTCACAGGACCACTGCTTCCCTAGACACCTGCTTCTCCAAAAATGTCACCTTCACCCAGGGCAGAGAGACCTCTGGCAAGCAACACCTTTCAATTGGAATCACAAGTATTGAAAATAGGTTTAAAATAAGAGCTAGAAGTAACACATCCTTGCCCTGCCTGCACCTGAATCTTCCTGAGATGCCTGCAGTGGAGCGTCTCATGGCCCCGATTACCTGGGAGAATTGATGCTTCCCCCTCACTCAAGGAAATAGAAGCTTAAAGGGGAAGGTGCTTACTCGAGGGAAAACACAAAATCATTTCAAAGTTGACTCTAATCCTTTAAGTACATTGTACACACAGGTGGGGCCTCTTGTAGCCATGTTCACATCATGAGATTTAACTCTTTGCACAAATCTATAGCCACCCTCTCCTCCCCTGGAAGGCTGTGAGCTCTCTCTCAAATTACAAAGGCCCTGGCAGCAAATTAACAGATGTGGATTTCTTTTTAACCATTAAAAGTAACTAATCCAGGAAATGAAACAAACCAAAAAAAAAAAAAAACCCAAAACAAAGCTCTCTCTATAAAGTGTAATCTCTGTCTCTTCTTTGCCCCTTTTCCAACTGTCTCTTCAATGTGGATTCTAATTTTCCACCCCCCCCAATGTCCTCCCCCATCCCCCAGGGCTATCCTTGGCACAGCACATGGTGGTATTTGGATATCCTTTCAGTCTGTCTCTTAAATTACTTCTGGTGCAAAGGTGGGTGTGATAGCACAGTGGGTAGTGTGCTTGCCTTGCATGCAGCTGACCCAAGTTTGATTCCTGGAATCCCATATGGTCCCCTCAGCACCACCAGGAGCAATTCCTAAATGCACAGCCAGGAGTAAACCCTGAGCATCTCTAGATGTGGCTCAAAAACAAACAAAATTTACTTCTGCTGCAAATTCAAAGTCACTGTATGTGGTTTGTTTAGGGGGGTCACACCCAGAGGCCCTCAGGGCTTACTCCTAGGTCTGTGCTCAGGAATCAAACCTGGCAGCCTTCAGGAGACCATATGAGGTGCCAGGGATCAAACCCAGGTCAGCTGCATACAAGGCAAGAGCCTTGCCCACTGAACTATCTCTCTGGCCCAGTTACTATATTTTTGTCCCTGGTGGCCCCGTGGGTGTTTCCCAGACCTCCTTAAGAACGCCAGAGCTTCTAGCGGGGGCAATGGTTATCTGAAACTCACTGCTGACAAAAATGTTTCTTCCCCACTATTAAAGGGGGCCATGAAGAGAAAGCCACTTCACTCCAGCACCTTGTGACAGAGGGTGTGCTGGTTTCCTCAGATGTGTCTGAGAGAAAGAGAGGACAGTGTTGAGGAACAGGACTGTGACCCCTATACCTGTCCTGGGAAGTTGTCTGACGCTTCACCCAATACCTGAAGAAACCAAAATCGCTCCAGTGAAGCTCAGACTGAGGAAAGAGGGTGGCAGCTTGAATCCCAGTATCAGTCATCTGAAAGTGGGAGCAACCTTGGGCAATGCAGTGTCCTTCTGGACACGGGACTGGCCACTGAAGGATACAGCTGAAACTCACAGCTCAGCAGTCACAGGGGGATGTCACCCTTCTAGAGGGAACTCAGTGAGGCACAAGGAATTCACTGTGTGATGTCTGATCTCTCAAGGACCATGGGTAACACAAAAAGTCTGCAGAGAGATATGAGTTGAGAGAGTCTGAGCCGGCTGTGGCTCCAAGCTCTGCACGCAGACATCCAGACTGTGTCTCCCACAACCATCAGGAACTAGTCACCGGGCCTTGTTTTTCAAAGCAGAGTTATTTACTGCCCCAGGAAAGGGGCAGGAACCACAATCTTGGGACATGAAGCGCTCCTAGTTTAGCCGTAGGCTGGGCCTTGCTGCCAACTTTCCCCAGACAGACTGCCCCATTTAAAAAAAAAAGGGTAAGGGAACATTATCCAAAGTCTGCAGGGAATGAAGACTCTCAGCTTCCAGGATCTGTCTGCCTCGTATCTATGCAGAAACTCCAGATTTGAACTGGACTTATATCCTGGCAGGTTTTGAGAGATTCAGATGAAGGTTTAGGATACATTCCCCTGGGCCTTTTTGAGTGGGAAGACTCCGTGTCCCCACCTTGCCCAGTGATAGACAAGCAATGGGGTCATCACCCCAAACCATCAGGATGGCAATGCCTGAGAGCGATATTGACACA